AAAAAGATGAAGCACAACGTTCCTCAGGAGGTGGAGCCGTGGTCCACTGACCAGAGGGTTGCTGGTTCAATCCCCGGCCCCTGCAGTCTATGTGTAGAAGAGTCACTCACACACTGACACAACAATATGATTCTAATCACAGCTGTAAACACACTGGAGTCTAAATGTTAAAGGAGACACAGATCTTTATTTATGTCATTCTCTTATTAATAGAAACACAAATATAAACTATCAGCAGACAGAATAATGTGATTTTCATAAAGACTCAAGTGAATTATTCCAGAACATAAGTAGAAGTGACGTGTCAGCTGGTGGAGGAAACAATCAATAACTCCTACAACAACTAGAAGTGAGAGGACAGACTCAGCTAAGGACACAAGCAGCATCTAAAGAGAAGAATGTGTGGAGATATGAACATTACAAAGGATTAAAGGCTGCTTATTGTCACTTTACACCAGCAGGAGTCTCACCTGTGACAGCTGCTGTGATGAATACTAGAGATAGTCTGAGAGAAAGACACACAAGTATTCATTCAAATGATCAACTATCTACGCTAACATCTTCTAACCTCTTAGTATGTTTATTCACGTCTCCTCCAGATGGTCCACAGCGTCCCTCTGTGTCAGTGAGTCCCTCTGCTAAGATGCTGGAGGGCGATTCAGTGACTCTGACCTGTAGCACTGATGCTAACCCAGCAGCTAACTACACCTGGTACAAGGAGCATGAAGACTCACCACGAGCATCAGGACAGATCTTCACCATCTCTGACTTCACAGCTGAACACAGTGGGAATTATTACTGTGAAGCCCAGAACGAGATGGGACGTAGTAACTCCACCTTACGTCTGATTACTGAGTCTGGTGAGTTTCTCCATGACAGGAATCGTCTGATCAACAAACAGCATCTCCTGCACGTTTATCCATGAATCAAGTCCTTCTGATGAGGTAACGTGCTGTTTGTCTAATAACTGTGTGTCTCCAGCTGTTGATAGAACAACAAGGATAATTCACATCACCAGGTGGCCTCTGCTGGTTGTGATGCTGATTCTTCTGCTTCTCTTTTGTCTGTGGACGAGGTAAAACAACTAGAACTCATCCTCACTGAGCTTTTACTTTGAAAAGGTCCATCAATCTATTTGTTTATCTGTTTGTTTTATGACTGAATGCAGGAAGAAGAAAGCTGCGAGCTCCACCACTGAACCACATGAGTCCAGAGAGGCTGTGGAGGTGAGACATTTGTCCTCAGAGACAGAACTCACCAAAGGGTCATCGTCTGTTGTTATTAAGTCATGAAGATAATTCAGAAGTAACTTCATCACTAACATCTTTCTCCTTTTGAACCACCAATATTTATTTACCACGTTTACTGCAAATGTCCTTTGAATCCAAAGAGCGATTTAAAGGACAAAGAGTCGTATTGACCATCAGCTAAGCCCCTCCCCTTGGTTACTGTTGCTAGGTCTGTCCAGCTTCAGCATCACAGCACGTAAACATGGCGGTGAAATGTCGGGATGCAAACCAGCAACGTTTACATTTCAGTCATACAGACTTTTACTAAATACGCTTGTGTCTTCACCAGAAGCACATTTAGGAAAAGATTATGAAATACTTGGTTAAGTTCAGGCAACAAAACTACCAGATTTTAGGAATAAATATTAGTTAGCGTTAAAATAACTAATTTAAAGTACTGAAGTCACGAGACAAAGTTGTACTTGTTGTTTCACACCAGGAACAAACAAGGATCTCCTGGTTGACAAATTTATGTTTCTTACACATTAATGACAATAATTCATATTCGACTGTCATGCTAAGCTAGCTAACGTCGTTAGCATCTTACCTCGGAGCAAACAAAGGAGTTTTTATTGATCGTTGATGGATTCAGTCTTCCACATGTTTAATCCATAAGTGACATCAACCCTCTAAAGGCCTCTGGTCCCTAGTTACGGTTGCTAACGTAGGAATGTACAGTGTGCGTTGGGGGAGGGGCTTAGCCGAGGGTCGGTTGTATCTGAACTGCTTCTCTGAGGCCTTTGACTCTCATCGTCTCTCCATCAGATGGACCTTCATCCTGAGTATGAGGACCTCTCAGACATGGCAGCACAGAGAGAAGACCCAGAGGAGCAGGAGGACCAGGTGTGAAGGTCAGCCAGGTGTCAGTCTGCTGCAACTCAAAACAACTTCCTGCTTCCGTTTCTGAGGAATAACTTCATGTGATCTTCTTCAGATGCAGTGAAACCAGAGGGAGACTCACCTGGACGGAGACAGGAACCAGTGGACACATTTCCCTTCAGTACCACAAGTTATTATCTGAGGTCTTTACAAAGTTAAAACTGTACTTTTTATTTCGTTCTCTTTGCTCTTGAATCACTGTTTTTATTTTAAATGTTCTTCGGTAGAGAACTTTGAATTTCATTGTTGCTTCAATGTGTTTTATAGATATACTTGCATTAAAATATCAGAATTAGTGGCTTGTAGCAGAATATTCATGATGCTTTAATTATATCTGTGCTGCTACATTACTTGTGTGCATGTTGTAATTGAATAAATAAATTGCTTTTAAGAAACTCTGATCACCATCTTATCCAGTTTTTCTTCACCGGATTTAAGGACAAATGGCAGAAAAAAAGTATTTTAGAAGTTAAATGGTCTCCATCTCAAAGAAAACTTTCAACAATGTCCAAAAAGAGTGATATTCCATTGTGACCTTTATTGTGGCGGGTGAATCCAGTACTTCCTGATCAGTCGACGAGTGAAACAGAAAATCAAACTTCAACTCATTTTACTGTTAATGGTCACTTCCGTTCTGTATCACGCAAAGTTCTGATTAATACACCGATGAAAATGTCTTTAAAATGTCTGTAAAAAATGATTTTGTTTGGTCCCCTGCTGTTTTTACTGTCCAAAAACAATGTTACGCTACGGTAAACAGAGACTGGTCAAGCACTAGGACCCAGCGGAAAAAGGGCCGCTCAAGCTGAAGCCTGTTTCCCTCAGTTTAGACCAGTGTTCATTTTGGCAGCTATTTCTGATTTAGTCTTAGGAAGAAAAATGCATATTAGTTTTAGTCACCTTTAGTCATTTTAATCCTTAGTTTTAGTCGAAAACTAGACTAATGTAATCAGTTTTAGTCACATTTAACAGCCATATTAAACTCCTTTTCTTCCCTTCTCAGGCCCAGGGACGCCCTGCGTTGTGTCTACAGCTGCATAATAGTCTAGCTTGCAGTACTTGGTTGTCCATCAGATGTCCCTCCTAGGACAGGTCTATAGATGTCCCTCCTAGGACAGGTCTATAGATGTCCCTCCTAGGACAGGTCTAAAGATGTCCCTCCTAGGACAGGTCTAAAGATGTCCCTCCTAGGACAGGTCTATAGATGTCCCTCCTAGGACAGGTCTAAAGATGTCCCTCCTAGGACAGGTCTAAAGATGTCCCTCCTAGGACAGGTCTATAGATGTCCCTCCTAGGACAGGTCTAAAGATGTCCCTCCTAAGACAGGTCTATAGATGTCCCTCCTAGGACAGGTCTATAGCAGGTCGGCAAACGTTTTGACTCGCGGCCACAATGGGTTGTAAAATGTGACGAAGAACAATTGGTTGAAGTGTTTGGGTGAGCTGATATAAATGACATGTGAAACATCATTACATGAAAGGATTTGGATTTTAACAAATAGCAAAGCATTTTATCTGCAAGGTGTAAGAAATACGTGTTCCACGATTTGGAAGCCTGGTCGGGGGTTATCAAAAATTCAGCCGAATAACTTCTCTCGTT